TAGTTATATCTTTTCATGGGTAAATAAAGTTAATTAATTGATTCATTTATTACCAGTGCTTGTCTTTTTTCACACCTATGTATGCGTATGTTGCTTCAGGGATTTCAAAGGTTTACTAACCGTAAAGGCCTCAATGTCCTAAGTGCTCTGAACACCTTTAGAGAACCGAGGATATCTACTGATGCGTCTGGTACGTGGGTAATGATCACATCTAACCAGGACATCAGTACTAGTACGAAATCCAGTACGTTCCAGCCAAGCTTAAGGTACGTATCTGGACCAAGTACGAATCCCATTGCGATTATCTGAAATAAAGATTACAATAGTGAACAAATGGAATATAATAGAAAATGGGACAGAACTTTGACATGAAATGCCGAGTCAGTTTTTTTCATTTCAGACCACGTGTCATTCTCTTGAGCATAAGATTCTTTATTTCAGTTGTATCCATATTCATTTGTCTTCTCGTGCACAACCGTTAAACAAAGAAATGATACTTTAGGGGAATAACAAATAGTCTGAAATAGGAAAACATTACGCCAAAGGTTAAGAGCTCTATTGAATTGAAATACCTTCATGATCATCTCGATGGTAAATATGATAGTGAACACGAACATTGATATGTCGATTATCTGTCTCTTCTGTGCAGAGAGAAAAATTGAAAAAAATGTCAGCTTCGTAAGATTGACACGTTGTCACATTAGAGTATGAATCGTATATCCGTGAAATAGTACTAATTAGTACAAAATAGCACCAATGAAACAATTGAAAGCAAAAGAAATAGATGTCTTTAGTGCTATCAAGTTTTTGTGTAGTTTGCACTCTACCAAAATTGGCTCGTATGGAGGCTTCAAACCATCACGTGTTGGCAGCCATGATAAGAGGCAGGAACATTTGAATAAGTTTCCCAGGGGAAAAAGACTACTGGATTATGCTGCACAAGCAGTTCCCACCCCTCCCCTATGAGTCTCAAGCGTTAAAATACTATGACGTAGATATAGATAGAAAATCAAGACACTTACGCGGGGATCTTGGTCCACATCTGGCCCCTCCATGGCTAACACGCCACAGCTCAACAGAATAAACACCAGAATGACGTAATCAAATATCTTGTGGTCACACACGGTAACCATGGCAACACGAAATCTGTCAATAGATTACGAATCTCCATTTATTACTCAAATATTTCAAAAGTCATATTTTCCTAATTTATTGAGTTGGGCTCCCTGAGAACAGTGAATTGTCCCAGTTTCCTCCGGTTCAACTTTTCTACAGGGAGCCCGTTGACATGATATCGCTTACCTGTTCTGAGGTGAGAATAAGTAAAGCGAAAAGCTGCTTCTGGTTCCAAAACGACCTTTGGTAGTCGAAACTGACTCCTTAAAAGTTAAGGAAGGAATATATTAAATAAAGCAAGATACTGTGACCATGTACTGGTTTTCTCGATGGGAAGGGTCTTCTTGAAGATAAAAAACGTTGCCTGGAAAAAACGAAATCATAAGAACAAATCGGCAGTTCCGTAGATTGGAAATGCTTTTCTGTGTAGTACCCCAGCGATCTATCTTAGGTCCATTTTCMTTTTATTTTCTCTACTGCAGTAGGGAATGATTGAACAAGAAGTATGGATGAACTTTGGGGAAAAAAATAATTTTCTGTGTGGTGCCCAGGAGTTTTACCTTAGGTCCATTTTTCCTCAGCTATATTCAAGATTCAATTTTCACAAGAAATTATTTTCTCATCTTCTTACCTCTAAATATACTTTCCTTTCTTGATGGCTTATTTCTGTTATATTACAAGTTTCATCCTCTTGGGTCAAGCTTGGCTCTGCGCGTATTTCTAAGTTAGAATAGGACACATCACCTTGGGTTGGCGTCACGCTTTCCCCCAGCATGTCCCTTCGTTCGTATTCTCCTGATGAAAGGTCAATATCCGGTGGCATTTCGGTTCGAATATCAGCCAAAGGAGCCTCCGCTAGGGTTGTCTGACCCGTCTTTCTGACATCATTTGGGGACTTCCCATTCAAATCACAGCCTTCTTTTAGTGTCTTTTTATCGCGAGGAACATCGTTGCTTGTTTTGCGCGACAGTTTTCTGTGAAAATAAAATGTTTTGTTGTTACCCTTGACAACTTTTTCCGCCATGTCGTTCTTTACCTCATCATCTATTGCAAATGCAGGGTTAAATATACACAGGTTTGCGTTCGAAGGACGATGCTTCGTACGCGTCTTTCGCAATAGCGCAACTGATGTCTGTCGCTTCTTCTTCAGCTCCGGCATGGTGAGAAAACCATCAAGGCCCTCGACATCGGAAAAAGACGTGGCTGAAGTACTGACGCGTGAGATTCTTTCTTGTAAACGTTTCTTCAAAGATTTTCTTTTGACAGATTTTTCGCTTGGCGCTATTACTGGATTCGAGCGGAATGCATTGCGGACAGCATGATAGCAGTAGTGTTGGTCACTTGATGCCGGTTTACTTGTGCAACCGTTTTCGTCCCATTCTGCTACACCGTTAATGAGAATTGAAGGTTTTGGAGGTGTCAAGTCGCAGCGTAATTTTTTATCTGCATTTTCATCTCGACTGACCGAGCTAGAGGGGGTCGGCGCAACACTTTGAATACGGATTTCCTCGTGTAGTGAGCCATTTCTATTCTGTCAAATTTAATAAAAAATGAATAAAGATAAACAAATAAATAATAGGAATTTAACAGTGGCTACAAAGAGTGGCTCTTTAGAAGTTGATTCTTTTGAAAGGAGAGGAAAAGCGGAAGAACACAGTGAAAAACCCTCGAAGCACAGGAGAAAAACCAACAAGTAACATACGACGCGATGAGAGGCGGGCGCGAGCGCTAAAGAATCAACAAGACGCTCTTGGAGCGTGCAATGGGTTCCCGAAAATGCAGGGATGCTGGAGCTTATTTAACACTTAATATTTATTATGTACCGCTATTTGGGAGGAGAGTGTACTTTCGAACATTGTAGGTGTATTTTTCTTCCAGAAACTTCCGAACACGTTTTTCATTTTCATTATATCATAAATAACTTTCGAATTTTTGTACAAAAAAAAAAAAGATTACAGATTTTTACGACTAATTTTATATATGGTATATATGGGTACTCTTGCGCATGAATGCACATTTCGCGAGAAGGAGACTACAAAAAAAAAAACAACAAACAAGGCATTTTATAACTGGGCTGCCACAGGCAACCCAGTAATTACAGTAACATATAAATATACACCTACCCCAGTACTGGTGAAACCCTCTACGAGAATTGCAACCAGAAGGTTGAACAACACATAATAACCAATAAGCATGAGTGCGATGAARTAGAGCGCAGCCCAGTTATTAATAGCACGCATCCCATCATACATCACGAGGTTCCAATTCTCCTGAGTAAGAATCTATGAAGAATAAAGTCATGTTGGTTTAGATATAGCAAATACTTTTTAACTAAATCCAGCTTATCTATCTGTGAAGAATCTCTAATGGTCTTTACTCAATGCGTTACCACCGTGAAAGTATTTGCGCATGCGTCAGCGCTGACCAAATTGTATCGCAGGCCCTTAGACTGGATGGAACAGTCCAGGAACTGTGCTCTTACCTGGAAAACAGTGACCATAGCCCAAAGAAAACTGTCAAAATTCGATCTTGTCACCATAGGTTCATTCTCCGCGTTACGAAAAACGAACTTTCCACCAAACAAGTTCATCCCAAGGATCGAAAAGGCGAACATGAACAGGAATAAAAGACCAAAGAATGTGATGACACTGTTCATGGTGCGAATGACTATCAACAGCTGGTAACGCACGGGACGAACGAGCTTGAAGATACGAAGCAATCGAATGCTACGAAATACGGACAGCTTGGTTTGGCCACTTTCAACTAGAAGCTCTGTGATACTGTGGAAAAAAGGAATCAAGCTCTAAATTGCGTGATGATAATATTATTTGCCTTGATTCACCCACAACGTTGGGATTGCGTGACGGAGTAATAGTGCCACGAAGAAATTTGATTATTCTCTGACATTTCATACGAGTGGTGGCTTTAGTAGTGACACAAGAAGTTGCGGATATTGTGTGACAACTGAACTTTTAGCTGTTAAATCTTACGTGACCACTTTGTGGCCCGCGTGACAAATAATTTGCGGGTTTGCGTGAAATGACATATTTTTGAACACAAGAGATGGCGCGGATCTGAGTAAAACATACTACAGTGTATTGTGCATCTCAAAACATCGTAGCAAAATTATAGCGTTATGGTAAAATATTTGCCCAAAATCTATTGCGCTACAGTGATGAATTGCGTTACTCACATACCTGACTATGACAACAAATCCATCAAAAACATTGAGTAGTTGGTTAAGATATTCTGTTATGCCATAAGCAAGAAGGTTTATGGCCATCTCCACCGAGAAGATCGTTACAAAGAGGATATTAAACTTGTCAAGAGCTTTCGTTAGTCCTTCGGGCTGTAAAATAGAAAATAACTAATGTAACATCAGTTCCATATTCATGCAGGCCATAATCATCAGTATGGACCAACTTCACCAACCTTGTGATTTCTTATACTCATGCAGGCGGTATTCATTAGTAACACACCGTTCATGGAAAGTGGTGGGATTTCACCCTCTCCGTTGTTGCATAACAATTGATGGTTTTCAACCATTCCCAAGAGAATTAAATAACAAAAGTCACGGCGGCCATGTTGGAGGATATAACAAAAGAATTCATTGACAATTCTTTTGTTAAGTCCCTCCAACATGACCGCCATGAAAACTATCAATTGCCCCTAATTTTCTGATAAAGGTATGCTTATTTTTGATCCCTTACGACCCTCTTGATCCCAATATTCCCCCCCCCCCCTCCCAAGTTAGCAGAACCTACCTGGTTATGGTGTTCCATACCCATGCAGACCATATTCAGCAGTATGGACGTCATAATGAAATGTATGAAGTGTCTACTCTCAGCAATTTTTCTGCAGAAGTTACGAAAGCGATAGCACAATCCATTGTTTTGCTCGACGTCGTACGAGTCGCACTGGTGCAGGTCAAACATACTGTCGTACATATCGTCGTCCTTTTGTGGGAGTCCGGCATGCAAGTCTTCAGAAGCGGTTGATTTCTTATATACTTTATTATCAATGCCTGTAGATAAACCACAAACGATTAAAAAAAAAACACGTTATATTAGAGCTCCGTGACAGATTCACGTTAAAGAGAGCCTTTGTTCTTCGTTTCGATAGGAGTTAAAAAACGGTGACGCAGGCGCGTAGCAGTCATAATAAAAGATGATAATGGAAGTGATGATGATGATGATGATGAATATCTTCTCTTGACAGCTCGATTGGACCGGGTGTAGTTTCCGATGGTCGCTTTTCCTCGTATGTAAAGATTTCTGCTTATGCGCAATAGCGAGTCAAATAACGTGCATGCGGTGGTAAGATAATCAACTGACCTGAAATATTGCTGCCATGCATGCGTTTTGATTGGCTTAAACGGGAACCCATTTATGAGCCATATTTGTTAAAACATTAATGAGAAATGAAGGAAACGAATCAATATAATTACTTTTCATTTCATCRACATCCTCGACGTTATTATTATCGTGACATTCCAAAGGTTTTGGTTGATGTGCATCACTTGACATCACTTGTTTTGTCGCTATCCCGCCGTCTCCTAGCAACGCTATCGAATCATCACTCTTCGAATTATGCTTTTCATCTTTCCCGCGCTTTATGCTAATTTTTCTAACAAATGATGATTCTTTCTGAAGCTGATTGGTCTGGATTTCTAGCTTCTTCATTTCAATTTCTTGTAAATCTAGCCATTTTCTTGAATTCATGGGAGAGCGCTTTGACAACTCGATTTCTTGTTCACCAAATGGCTGGCTATGACGTCGTTGATAACGTCGTGCACTCGACGGTGAAGGAATCAAGTCGAAGTCGTGGCGCTTTTTTGGTTTACTGCAAGATTCGCTAGAACTTCGTGGTCGCGACTGAAATCTGTCCGCACTCAAAGCAGCGGTTGCAGAAGCCGACGCATGAGCAGAAGCAAGAGTATCGTCTTCAGTGACTTTAATGATCGGTAAAGAAGATGTTGCGCACGCAGTAGCATGAGCAGCGGCAAACGTGCCGGCAGAATGGGATCCTGGGACTGTCAAGGTCACACTTGAAGTTGTTAGAATTTCCTTATCATGGACGGAGGAGGAGGCCTCAGTATGGATAGAAATGGCGCCCGCGAAAAGCGAAGCCTCTGATTCCCTTCTTGGTATGAACTGTTCAGGAGGAAGTAGAAACGGCTTGGTTGAAACTCCTGTTGTCCCTTCATTGCTATTCTCATTATCAACGCTCTCAATTGTTATACTAGGAACTCTGGCTGGTTCTTCCTGCTGACCAGCAAAGAACGCAGGCTTTGTTTCGGTAGGAGTTAAAAATAACGGTGACGCAGGCGAGTAGCAGTCATAAAGGTGATGATGAAAATGATGATGATGGTAGAAGTGATGATGATGATGATGAACGTCTTCTTTCTTGACAGCCCGTTTGGAACGGATGTAGTTTTTAACGGTTTGGAGGCACGAGTAGGTTTGCATGCTTGAGATGTTCACACCTTGACGTTTGCGGCTCTCTTCGATCAATTCGATTTCGCGGGCTTTTGTTTCCTGGAATTGCATCGTGATAACGACCAGGCACAGGTTGACCAGGAAGAACGATCCAATCTGGAAACATAAAGATTTGATTGGTTTGCTTACAACAACCAGCTACATTGGTTTGATGGTACAGCTTACCACGACTAGAATGATGAAGTAAATCCAGTTCCACAAACTATGCGAGTCTTGTACCAGGTACATGAGCTCTGACCATCCCTCAAGTGTGATCACCTATCAACCATAAGAAATATAAAATAAAAATTCAAGATATACAAAGTTATTTAACAGTAATAAACTGGACAAAATCCAAGGAATTATTTTTTACGAGTTTCTGTCTGTGCATGCGCAAAAGTGCATTTAAGCTATTTTATCAAGACGTTTTAGCTTTAATCCAAAACTCAATGTAAAACGTCTTCCTGATTATATCCATTTAGAAAGGGCGCTATATAAATCATGAATCATAATCATGTGAAAACGTGATAGGTAACTGACCTGAAATATTGCAATCCAAGCAATAGCTATATTATCAAAAGACGCCGCCCCATGAAAAGGATTGGGCCCATCTGCTTTGCACACGCTATAGATTCGATTCCAGTCCACACACTGGCTGCTGTTTTGTGCACGGTTTAACTGGTCATAGGGGGACTGGGTGCAAAGCATTTTGCTCTGATATGATGAAGGTACGTCAGAAGGGCATTTCGTCATGCCATAGTCTTTTGGAAGGGAACAGAGAAAATCTGGCTTCTCAAAACTTGGTTTGTAGAACAGAGATTTATTGAAGCTGAAAACAAACAATATCTTAACTGAGGATAATTAGCAATTATTCGCCGAAGGCGAAGTGAATATCGGGGAATATTCACTGAGCCTGAGGCGAATAATTGTGTTAGCATCTACCAACTTGTGTACAGAGTAACTTATTTTTATATGCAATAATTYAATAAAAACAAACAGAAACTTTTAGTTTGCGTGACAAATTCACGCAAAGCGTTTAGCAAAACTTTTAGCAAAACGTTTGGGCCATAATTCGTTGCCTCTTTAGTATTGATAGTAATGGCATTTATTTTCATTTTTCAATTTCCTCATCGGAAATTGTAGCAAAACGATTGCCGACAGATGCCATTTTGTTTCCAACTCAATATTCCGAGATTCAGAGTTGAATATCGTGCAATATTCACCTCCAATTAACCAATGAGCGCGCGCGTTCTTAGGAAGTACACAAGTTGGTATATGCTAATATTATTTATTTTATCTGAACGCAAGCGTCAGTAGTCGTTCAGGCTGAGCCCGCAGTAATTGGTTACGCTGTCCCCCTCACCCTGCCTCCTACTTATGCTGCTTTTAATAGACCTAACCCACTGTTTTCCCATTTCAGACCACGTATCATTCCCTAAAGTATTATTTCTTTGTTTAACGGTTGCACATGAGAAGGCACATGAATATGGATACGACTCAAACAGACAATCTTATTCTCATGGAAATGACATGTAGTCTAAAATAGGCAAAATATTACGCCCAAGTGGATTTGGTCCATTTGTTATGTTTATTCGGCACAACTTCAGAATACCAGACCAAATGATAAGCACACATTATTAATAATATTATTATCTTTAATCCTTCTATTGTTCTTCCATCGCTATCGCGTCGTTTTCAAAAGACTTGCTTCATGCTAAAACAAAGTGCTTGGCCGGATATTCTGAAGTTGCTTCGTTTATTCTTTGGAGAAGGTAATAAAATAAAAATGAAATAAAATAACCAGGTTGCACAAGTCAAAAACGGGTGTAAGGCCCCGTCCACACGTATCCGGAAATTTTTGTATCCGTATCCGGAAATTTTCGAAAACGGTCTCCAGTGTAGACATTTTCGAATACGCTCCGAATACGGATACATGTGGACGGTCGTATCCGCAAATTTTCGAATACGATGACGTAAACACGATTTTGCGCATGCTCAATAAGAAAAACTATCCGTCAAATGGACTAGGCACTAGCGTGCAACAGGGCGGATCAAGAAATTTCCGGATACGTGTGGACAGTGAAAACGATTCGGATACGCTGCGTGTGGACGCGAGCATTTTCGTATCCGCAAAAAAAAATTTTGCGGATACAAAACTTTCCGGATACGTGTGGACGGGGCCTAAATTTGAAAATGTCCACCTTTGGTATTCAAAATGGCGGATATTAATCACGTGACTTACTCGAGCAATATTGTACTGTTCTCTGGCAGATCCGCAAAACATCTGTTTCTAAGTTTTCCTTGCCACAGCTGAACACCGATTATTCCAAACACAAAGAAGATGAAAAACGTCAGGAGAAGAACATTACCTAACATTGGTAACGTGTCCAATAGGAGAGTGACTAGTATACGAATATCTGTTTAGAAATCACACACACACAAAAAAAAAATTTATTTATCGAACCTTGAATTAACCTCTGGGCTGATCTATGGTAGGGCATGGCTAACTCACAGATCGAACCCTGAAACAACCTCTGGGCTGATCTAAGTCAGGGCAAGGCTAACTCACGGATCGAACCCTGAAACAACCTCTGCGGGATGATCTAAGTCAGGGCATGGCTAACTCAAAGATTGAACCCTGAAACAACTTCTGGTCTGATCTATGTCAGGGCATGGCTAACTCACAGATCAAACCCTGAAACAACCTCTGGGCTGATCTAAGTCGGGGTATGGCTAAMTCATAGATTGAATCCTGAAACAACTTCTGGTCTGATCTATGTCAGGGCATGGCTAACTCACAGATCAAACCCTGAAACAACCTCTGGGCTGATCTAAGTCGGGGTATGGCTAACTCATAGATTGAATCCTGAAACAACTTCTGGTCTGATCTATGTCAGGGTATGGCTAACTCACAGATTGAACCCTGAAACCACCTCTGGGCTGATCTAAGTCAGGGCATGGCTAACTCTTAGATCCAACCCTGAAACAAACTCTGCGGGATGACCTAAGTCAGGGCAAGCCTAACTCACATATTGAACCCTGAAATAACTTCTGGTCTGATCTATGTCAGCGCATGACTTACTCACAGATTTAATCCTGAAGCAACCTCTGGGCTAATCAAAGTCAGGGCAAGGCTATGTCACAGATAGAATTGTAATTTAGCGAGTGGGAAGAAAGCTGGAGAACGCGGGGGAAAAAACCCTTCCAATCAAGGGAGAGACCAAATAAACTCTAATCACGTGTGGTACCAAGCCCAGGAATCGAAACGAAACCCAAACGTTAGAGACAAGTGAACTACTGCTACACCACCCAGTTCCTTTACACTCGCAGATCAAACTAGAATTTTTGAATTAGAATAAGAGAATAAGTCTTACTTGGTACTTTATTGATGGCTCGTAGAGGACGAAGGACTCGAAAGGCCCGGATGATCGTTAGATAATCACTTCCCTTCATTAACTTTTCTACGATTCTACGAGAGAACACAACAATCAAAGCGTCACCCAGGTACACAATAAAAAGATTGACAAGAAAGGGATAAATAATCGAAAATATTGTCCGTGTTCCGTGCGCGTGGCTTTAGCCATTAAACCACGTGCTGAACATGTGCTAGGACTTTGATTGGACGAGCACTAACTTGTGCTCTTTTATTGATATAAACWACAAAGTCATAGAGCGCATGCGCAAAGATGAAATTTAACCCGGCATATGACTGACACATTGGAGTCCTAGCGCTGACAGTAAAAAAGAGTCAGCGTCAAGCTACCAAAGTGTTTGTGACGTCACGATCACGTGCTTACCCTACGATAATTATAACAAAGTCTAGTCTGTTCCAGGAATCTTGCATGTAACCTTTCTTCCCTAGGACTCCCATTGCAATCATCTTGATAACCATTTCCAGGAAGAAAAAGGCGAAGATAAAGTGTTCTAGAATCTCGAGTACTGTACAGCGCAGCTGTTGACAGTGTCTGTCATAAGGGTCGTACATGGCCAGTGTGACGCAGTTGACGAAGATGACGAACAGGCTGACGCGCTCGAACCACGTGATCACAGGTTAAGGAATGTAAAATTTACATGAGATAAAAAAACAGCTTCCCTGGGGGAAAAGGCTTTATTGTTGTGCCTCTTGTCATGGCTGCCATCACGTAATGGTGTAAAGCCTCTATAAGTTACTACAATATCAAATTATCTAGTAACCGTTTTAACCGTTGCCAAAGAGGAAATAAAGAGCTTGAATTTAGCCTAGTCAATTGACGGGTAGAGCTTTTAAGCTTATTAAAGTAAAGATTGCAATTTTTAATCAATGAAAACTTCGATATTATTGTCTGAGATCCAGGAAGGAAGGAATTCGTTGCGATTTGCGGTGACGATAGAAGAGGATTTAGGATTTTGACTATGAACGTGGAGCTTTGGATGATTCAAATTGTGTCAATATTAACATGTCATAGAATGTATTATACTGGTGCGCGTGCCTATACTGCGATATAAACAAGATAAGAGATGTGTCAGTGAAAAAACACAGAGATCTTCGTTATCATCATTATAAATCATCATCATCATTATTGTCGCCACCATTACTATTTTTAATTATCATTTATATTATTATTATTACTATTATTGTTATTATCATTATCATTATTTTTATATTATTAGTGATCATTATGATGAACCTTATTAATGATTATTATATTATTACTGTATTCAATTCATTTCATCTCAGATTTTATTCTCTCAATCTCACAAGCTGGTCGTCAACTAAGGAATAGGCATAAAGCAGAAGCAGAACTAGATTGTATGGAAACAGAACTAAATGAATAGAAGTGAAATGAAAAAGAAAATGAAAAAGGAATGAATGAGGAAAATGAATTGAACATGAAATGAAAAACTGAAAGTGAATAAGTAAATCGAAACGACAAAGAAAAAGTGAAATAAATGATGAAAGTAAATTGAACACAAAATGAAACACTGAAATTTATAAAGGTAAATGAATTGAACACGAAATTAAAGTTTAAAAAATGAAATAAAAATGAAACCAAAAACGATAATAAAATGCTCTTAAAGAAAACGCGATTTTAGTTTCTAATTCATCATCATCATCATCACCTTTATTTCAATACGGAATCTCTTCATAAAAATGCTCTTCCAGAGAGCCGTATATAYCATAACAAATAATAAATAAGATCAAATAATATGTATGGTTTTGTAATTCGATCACGTCCGAATTCCAAATTTCACGTGCCAAAATTCAGCACGAAATTTCATTGCTTCTTATAAGTAACCGACACACCAAAGCTCTTGACAGGTTTACAAGTTATGTAAACGAAATCATTTCCCTAGTTTACGTTGATAGCTTTTGAATGATGAAAAACATATTAGATTGAAAATATTGATTAAGCCGCCTTGTTTAAATATTCTATTAAAATCAAGACAGTCGTCTCAAGGTTTTGAAARCAAATGCTTGAGTTGAAAAAAGTGAAAATGAAAAATATTATGGAGTTTTTGCCCCGGCTGTTGGTTTTGTATTTTACTGTAAAATCAGATGTCTTTTTTGAAAATCAAACGAATATTTCCTAAATAGATTTTGAAAATTTACAATGAAATACTGAATTACATGAACTGTTAAATTAGATATCTTGATTTTACGCACGTCAAAACACGTTTGCACATTTTACACGCTTTACTCATAAAATTATTTATTATTATTTATTTATCATTTCTCGTTTAGAAGTTGATAGTTTGTACTTTTATCAAAAACGTAACTCGAATTGGATTTTTTTGTGGTAACAATCATATTTTCAAACTTCAATCTCAAGTATAAGTTCAGAATATAATTTCTCCTGACACTTATTTCACTCGAATTTTTGAAATTATTTAATGAACAATTCGCGGAACATGTAACTTCTTTGCTGTTCTTTATAACATAGGAAAGTAATTTGTTAAAACGTGACAGCGTTTTTCGAAAAATTTGCATTTTAGTTATTTAAAAAAGCAGTGTGAAGTAATCTTGGAAATTGAAAATCTGCCATTTTTAGTTGATGGCATTTAAAAGGTTTTTCCATCTGTCTTATAATAAATTCAGAATAGTTTCGCATGTATTTAAAATATTTCCCGATAACTGCGTAGCTTAAGCACGATGGAATAACCAAATATCACTTATTAAGATTGGAATATTGATTAAATAAGAATGAAAAATAGAGCGAAACTTTTTATTCTCAAAAATTACAATATTGATATGTGCGAAAAATTTTTTTGTAACTTAAAAATTTCAAAAATTGAAAAATTTAGTCGTTTCTCACGGCGCAAATGTATGTGAATTCTTTCTCGAAAATCTCGAATAGAAAATTACAATAAAATAKTTCTTATAAAAATTTGACATAGAATCTTAGATCAGTTGAAAAACTAAATATCTTGTTTAAGATCAACACGAACGACTCAAAAATACACGTTGTCTTGCTTCAGATACAATCAAACAGCTACAAGACATATCGAAAAACCGAGTAAAAACTTCTGATAAAAATGCAATCAAATAAAAAAATCTCAATTAGATATTTCTTTAAAAGCCCAGCTTTTTTCCGGTTTCAAACGTAAATAAATGGATTTTCAACTGAAAATTTTCAAATGTTTTAACCGAGAAACGGTTCAAGATTACCTTTGAAATAATGCCAGATACGTGTGATTTTTTTTCCTGCGTCGAGAGTTAAAAAACCCTGAATTGTTTTAAACTAGAAATAATAACCAGGTTTAAATTTAATATTTGTATACTACATTGAACTAAAGTGGTGATCATAAAGGATATGGATTTTTGAATATTCGAATGAAACATTTTCGCGGGAAGCTTTTCTGTGTAAGAATAAAACACGACCTGTTCTCGACATCAATGACTTCGGCTTCGGGTTCACTCTCTTTTACCTTTGGAGGAGTAAGCTCTCTCGTTGAATTCTCCAGTGAAATTGAGACATCATTTTGTTCAATCTCCATCACGTCGTACTCTCATCTCTCAACCTTTTTTCTCTTCTCTTGAATCCGTAAGTCAACAAAAGAGCAATAGACTTGTGACAGTTGAACGTCACGTTGCTATGGGAACTGAAAGATAGAAAAGATGTGAGCTAGATCTACTGGAGTCTTAGTAGTTAAATGATTGTCTGRTGTATTTTATACCAAAATTATTATTATTTAGAGCTTAGCTTAGAATATTCTGTCCGCTCATTTTAATTGCAAAATTTAGCGTTGAACTTTCGAAGTAATTGTAAGTATTTTTTTCGTTACTTCTCCGCAGCACGAAATCTAAAAAAAAAAAAAAATTAAATTAAATGAGAGGTTAAAAAGTCGGCGTTTCCGTAAATAGCGTAGAAAAGCGAGCGTGGACAAGATACTTCCTCACTTACTTGAAATGAAGGACTCTAGTGAGTCTTCTTTGACTTTACGGTACTCAAACATTTAGATTTGAATATGTCGAYGAGACAAGCTTTAAGAGGGGCCACACTGTCCTAAGCCGATTCACCTGCTTATTTGAGTGCAGTTCGTAATTGCGCATCCGAACATACGAGCCAATAGTAGAACTAACGCTTGTCTCCGAATTCTTGGAGATCAAATTAAGTCTAGAATCTAAACAGATGAAATGGAAATCACAAAAAATCGAAATCARAGAGGAATCTTAATAGAATATAGACGCTCCGACAAACAATCCGCGGAAACTGAGTTGTATTGAAGGTAAATTATTAAGGATGGATTTCAGACTTTTAGGATAATCAAACTACCATTATTTCGGGCCAAAAGGAAAGACTTCATTCACTTTATYATTTCCTGTTCTGTCCAATACAAGTGAAAGATTCGATGTAATGTYTGATCTTATGACTAGGACTTATAACTCAATTTTAATGGTAAATTGGTAATAGCTCCGGCACGAATCCCGCACTTGGTCTGATAGGCTCTGTTTACCAAAGAAAGGATGTGATAGTCTTCAACATAAATGAAAAGATAAAAATATTCCTCGCCTCGGGGATAGTCGTTTACAAATATACAAATATAAATAACCGGCAAAACTCACACTAAATGTCTATGTCCTGGAAGATCATTGAACACTCATGATTGGTGGAGGGGTTTTGACGTTACACACAACTTGACCAATCAGATTTAATCAAGAGACTAGCAGCACGCGCGTCTAAAATGTCTATAATTGGCGCCTTTTTTAGTAGCAAAGCTAAGTGATTTTAATTGTATGTAATCAAAAATAGAAGAGTTTACGAATGCTTTTTTCCCCATAAAGCGACTGCACGTCGGGAGTAAACACATACCAAAAATTGGAAGATATCATTCGTAGTGGCTACCGTTATGTCAAGAAGAATGATGAATATTTCTGAAACAATTAAATGAAACGGGAATTTGATACAACTATAAATCGTTCAGCTGCTCGAAAAAAATTTGATTATTTGAATTGAAATTATAACAAAATAACAAAAAATTAACCAAAAATTTAAATTAAAAAATTAGAATTAAAAATTAACATTTTCCCAAAAAAACGTTTAGTTTTCGATGGTACAGAGTAAAAGTGACTTTCCCTAACTTATGCTGTTTTTTTATAGATAATTTAGCTTGAAGTAATATTAAAACTAACGAGAAAAGAATGTAAACAAATTGAAATACTCGGTAGAATGTTCTTATTTCATTATAACCGAACAATAGTTTTCTGACGATATTCCGATAACTGATTTTAAAAATATACCCACAATATTTTTATTTTCCGAGAGTTTCAGCCATAACGCATGCTTCGTTATGTCCCTAATATTTAAAAACCTTTAGAAAACTATTACATGTGTGTGTTTGGGGGTTGAAGAACGTTGAAACTCTACGGATTATACAAAAGCGCCGGATTTATTAGCCAAGTGTTATAATGAAAACCTAGCTTAAGGCGACTTTGTATTTCCGTTGTTTATTCTGCATAACTTTTTTTTAAGCTTAACGTTAATGGAATGGGAAATCAACTATGAATAGGTAAAACACCCTCAATCATAGGGCGAGCAATAAATATCACATATATTTTGTCAGTAGCAGTAGCAGTAGCAGTAGCAGCAGCAGCAGCAGCAGCAGTAGCAGTAGTAGCAGTAGTAGTAGCAGTAGCAGTAGCAGCAGCAGCAGCAGCAGCAGCAGCAGCAGCAGCAGCAGTAGTAGTAGTAGTAGTAGTACTTCTTTTGTCTAAACCTTCTTTTGTTCTTAATTAAACAAAAGAAGGTGAGAAATTCGGAATAAAATCGCATGCGCAGTGGAATCAATTCTTAAACTATGAAAAGGCTTATTATATAGCTGCCTAATTAATCCCATATCAACCAGACCTGTCCAATTAAGAAAATAATTGGACAGTTACCTATATGGGATTAATGAGAAGCTGTATRATAATAATAATAATTATTATTATTGTTATCTTCAGAAAAAAGCGCATGCGCAAAAGTTTAAGTTCGTTTTTCGTTAAGACTCAAAGACGAGAGTTTTCACTATCTTTGTCTGGGAACTCACTTTGCACTTACAAGTAGGCATTCAGTCAGAGGAGGATCCACTAGTATCCCAGAATGCACTGCGAGTGATATAACGTTTTACCATCAAAACAGYAAAAATAAATATTTTCGAAATTGAAAAATCAATTGTACTTAAGTAGAGTGTATSTCATACCTTTTAGCGATATCTATTTCTATATTCTTCAAGAGATTTAAAGAAACTTGTCAAAATACTRAAATACTTTTTGAGTACTTTCAGATTCAGTACAGATCCTGCTACAACTGGCTACTTTTATTTGCCAAATTAATCAAACATGCTTTATCAAATGCTAAAGCAACGCATTAGTATTTGTAATATTAGTGGTAGAAGTATCATTGCCAAAAAAAAAAAATCAAATACAGCGGTTAAAGCCAAAGAAAACAACAATAAGCGTGCACGGGCACTTGGGATACTAGTGGAACCTCCTTTGGCATTCAGTTTAATGTCGTGGGAAACCATTTTAGTGTTATGAAATGACGTGGAAAACACGTGCTGCCGTTTGTGAGTATGGTAATGATAGTGCAGCAAAAGAAAACCATTTCAATGTTATGGGAAGTCATTTCAATGTTATGAAAAATCAGTACCATGACTAAGCATCGTAGTGGTACTCAGGGTAGTTAAAGGAAGCAATTTCAATGTCGTGGAAAACCATTTTAGTGCTATGGGATGATGTACAAACCACGTGTCGTAAAAAGCGTCGTGGGTCTCTAGCTATCATAATCTAAAGACGAGATATTTTGAGCTAAAAATAAATAGTGCTTATATAGATATGAAGTGCTCAACGCTTGTGGCTATAATTTGGGAAGCCAATCGACAGCTTTTAAATTCCGGTTGCGAAACCGTGCAGGAAAACATTTTGTCAGGACATAACATGGCTTCGATATGGCTTCCTAAGAAAATTACCTGGAATATTAGTAAAATTTCTCGCGGAAGAGCATTGCGCGGCTTTGAAATGGTTTCCCAAACCAATTAAAAGCATTTTCATTATGTTTGACTCAATATACAGCACTAATGTCAATATCATCCAATTTCGGCTTTATTCAAATCTCTCCTGGAAGAGACAGTAGACCYCTTTACCTCAATTTTGGGCGTAATATTTTCCCATTTCAGACCAAGTTTCATTCCCTATAGAGTATCATTTCTTTGTTTAATAGTTACAATTTAAACAAAGAATCTTATTCTCAAGAGAATGACACGTGGTCCAAGGTCTAGAGGTAAAGAGGTCTATTAGCATTGTATTCCAATTAGATACACGAGTCAAGTACAGTGCTAATTTTATATTCCAAAGGAAAAAAATGTCACATACAAAATCRCATACATCTTGTAGAGGATTTGCACCATCGCGTGATGGCAGCCATGACAGGAAGCACAATATTGGTCTTTCCACCTCCTTTCCACTCCAGGAAAACTGAATTATTTCTCATGTAAATCAGATTAGACCAGATTCCAGATTAAATTGTTCCTGCCTCCAGTCATGGCTGCCATCACGCGATGGTGGATAGCCTCTATATTCCTTTTTCAATAAAGTTATTCGCAAGCTTGAAAAGCTACAAAGCTGAGACCGCCAAGAATTATGGGTAGATAATAATAATAATAATAATAATAATAGTAAAAACAATAATGACTTTTATGCAGACAACTAATCTAAAAATAAAAATCTATAATTGACATAGCATAGTTTTATAAGCTTCAATTATTCATTGAAAAGAATTTTCAGTTTGCTTGTTTTTTCAAACGATTTTCTCTCTCTCTCTCTCTCTCTCTCTCTTTGTCTTTTCCCTAATCATTCCCGAGGTCATGTTACCTTTCAAGCCGCGACTTGGTGAATATCTCATTTTCATAAAGACACTTTTTCTCCGAACGACTTTAAAGTCCGGCCTAATAACTTGTAATCGACCGCGAAAAATAATTAATGAATATCAAATAAAACCCAAATGCATGAATATTTAACTAGCCTACGTACGTACACCTGTTCCTAAGTCTAACTCTAACTTAGAGTGCAGAAAGTCCTACCAGGCTCGGTGTCGTATGGGAGTCGGTAGAGTTGCTTGTTGGTTCTCTCCTGTGYTTCGAGGTTTTTTTTCGGGTTCCCCGGCTTTCCTCCCTTCGCAAAATCAATCCTAAATTCCAATTGAAATTCAGTGGGTGAAGAGCCGCCCTGTGGTAATGCCACTGCTAGATCCTATTTATATCCTATTTATTTATTCAAAATCTTTAAAATCTTTATTTATCTATTTTTAATTTAATTTAATTTAATTTTTTATTTTGCGTTCCAGATTGTTCACAAAACACATCCCTATTTTTATCAACTTTTCTGGGCCCACTAAGCTGCGATATGGATAAAAAATTAGAATGATACCCGAAGAACATCTGTTCTACGTCAAAATTTGCTCTCCTCGAATTCCACATAGCAAGATAATCTCAAACGCTGCGATAACTATCCGATTGGTCGCGGAAACTCAACAGGGCAAATTAAATCCAATAAAAATGTATTCAATATCATAAAGTCGGTTGGTAAAGAACCGATTAACTGRGGTGTAATTTATATATCCTAAAAAACGGGAGTCACAAATAAACCAAGGACTAATAGCGTGAAATTTAGTAAGGAAGGAAGGTAGGAATACGGGTTAAATAGTCACTCCAAAAAAATATCGAGTATAATATTCTTGAGTCATTTTGGCGCGCGGCTAACGTATGATAAGATGATACTTATTTATTTATTGTTTTGTGTTTTAACGCCTTTTTAACTGGGTATTAATTTTTTCTTTTTTTGCCGGCCGCGGGATTAGCTCGATCAGCGTAATCTGAGGCAAAATTTGATCTCGATGTTTTGAAGGCTCTCTAAAAAAAAGTTTCCCATTCAAAATAGCTTCCACGGCAGAGACAAAATGGAAACAAAAAATAGCACAAATTACAACTAAATACTATTTCAAAATCTAAATAAACCAGCTACAATAACTAAAGAAACATATGTATGCAACGATTCAAATCTTACCTCAAGATAGATTTGAGCTAACGTCAATATTCCTGGTTGAAATTTTTCCACGAACGCGACTTCTTTCATAAGATTTTCCGGTTAATTTATAAAATATATAATCTCGCTGCCGAGGGTTTTTTTCAATCTTTTCTTTTGCTTCCTTATTCAGTCGCTCAAGCAAACGTAGAACTTAGTATTTTTAAAATGAATATTCCTAATTTATCTCATTCGTGATTCGTTTTACGTACGGCACAGTAGGAAAATGATCAAGTGAGTTGATTGAAATGTCAAGCGATGTTTGCTGAGGTGGAATTTTGAGTTGGAACTGCAGATTGTGAATCTAAATAAAGATCGATTAAGAATATGAATATATTAGTATCAAACTGCTTGAGCAGCTGATACAGAGGCTCTTATATATTCAACTGTCAATTATATGTCAAAGAACATACAAAAAAGGGGGCTGTTTCCTATTTTTATGGATGAACTCTTCATCGCGAAAAATAGGTGATAAATAACCTCTATGACTTCAGAACTCAAAATCATTTTATCGCGATATTGCATTTAGGATTTCGTCTACAGATTTCTATCTCTTACTTTATTCGTTTTCAGACGGAATTTATTCTATGCGTTTTGTATTTAACTCACATATTTGACGAATAGGGAAAATTAATGGGATTTGAGGCCAGCAAAAGCGATCCAACGCAGAGCAAATAACAGGTGTGCACGCACGAGAATCGATGTAAACTTAACCCCCAAAATGGTGAGCTTTCTACAACTTTCTTTGACGACCAAAATAACCAAAGGACGTGACTCTGACTCAATATATTCAATTCTAAACTTGGAAACCGTTTGCGATATTTATAGCTTTTTTCTCTTAGGCTTGAAGTTTGAATTTAAGGTCGTATTAATTATGCTTTCCGTTGCGCACCAGGGTAACGCTTAGTAGGCCCAACAGGAAGCGGATACTGCCTTATTTAAACTATCTGTTAATTTAGCAATTTTTAGCCTTTAGGGATGGGCCATTAGATAATTGAGGGGGGGGGGGGGGGAGAGTGCAGGAATTTATGTCGCACGATATTTATTAACTTATTATATTATTATTACATTATTACATATATTATTTATTACTGCAAGAAGAGACTAAGAAAGAAAAATCGATTTCAGTGTTCTTGATATGGGTAGTGTCCTCATCATAAAAATAGCAACCATTAARAAAATCTTGCTAATGGCTTCTACTTAGAGCATTTTAGACCTCACTAACGTCTTGAAGTGTCTTTATCCTTGATGCACAGAAGGATGCCAAACATTCCCTAAGACTCTAGACCACGTTCTCCTCTCCGGGCAGGGCTTAATTCCCCCC